GAGGTCCAACAACCGTTTCTCACCAATAACATCCAAATTAAAATTTAGCTTCTTTAAAGCTCATAGGTTTTGTGCTCTAGCTCCACGGGTAAATGAAAAGCTTTTCCATATACAAGGCGATAAGAAGACATGGCTAGTGGAGTTTTATAAGTTATCTGATAAGCTCATAATGCTTCATCAAGACATAGAGACCAGTCTTTCCTTGAAGGACTGACAATCTTTTCAAGAATTTATTTGATCTCTTGGTTTCAAACTTCAACTTGACATTTAGTTTGTGGGTGGTATGCTTGATCAATTCTATGTTTTACTCCACATCGGTTCAATGCATTAACCACATGTTTCTAATAAACTGAGAACCTTCATCACTGATAAATACTCGGGGTGTTCTAAAACGAGTAAAAATGTTTTTATAGAAGAACCTTGAGACTGTCTTAGCATAGTTGTCGGACAATGCTACAGCTTCAACCCACTTGGAGACATACTCAACGACTAAGATGAAAAAGTTCCACATGATGTGGGATATGGTCCCATGAAACTTAATCCCAATACATAAAATAATTCAATATCTAGAATAAACTACATTGGCATTCGTTACGACGAGAGATGCTACAAGTTCGTTGGCATCAGTCACATTGCTTGACAAAATTATTGACATCCTTGAACATTTAAGGCCAATAGTAACCACATTGTAAGGGTTTTGCTATTGTCCTCATACCTCCAAAATGACCACAATAAGATGCACTGTGTCAATGATGCATAATGTTTGTTGTTCATATTTAGAGACACATCTTCATAGAATTTGGTCATTGCATTGTTTGAAACGACACAATTCCTCCCAACGATATACTTGGAAATCTCTTATGATTTTTTCTACCTTAATCATTATGGTAAGGTAGCAACAAATCACTTACTAAATAATTGACAAAGTTCGTATACCAAGGAAAAATCTCAACTAAAAGTAAACTCTCATCGGGAAAAGTGTATTGAATTGCTAGTACCTTGCCATCTTCACTGCCAACTTTCAAGTGTGGTAAATCATAAACCACTTGGTTCTCGGGTCTTTTCTTATCTCTAATTCCAATGTCAAATTATTGAAGTAACAACGCCCATTTCATTAATTGTGGCTTAGTGTCTTTCTTGTCAAACGATTGCTTCAAAGTCGAATGGTTAGTGTAGACAATGCCATTAGTTCCAACGAGATAATATCAAAACTTGTCAAAAGTAAACACCAAAATTAATAGTTCATTCTCAGTTGTTGTGTAGTTTATCAGATAAACATTCATCATCCGAATAACATAATGTATAGCATGGAAAACCTTTTCTTTCCTTCGCCCCAACACTTCTCCAATAGTTTGACCACTAGCATCATACATAAACTCAAATGGACGACTCTAATCTGGTGCTACTACTATAGGAGCAATAACTAGTTTAAGTTTGATTGTTTCAAACAGCTTCAGTACTTCACTATCAATTACGATTTTCTTATTTTGCTCCAGTGATGAACATAATAGTCTAGTAATTTGAGAAAAGTTCTTGATAAATCTTCGATAAAAGCTAGTGTGTAATAGTGAAACTTCTTACTGACTTCATACTAGTAGGACGTGGTAGATTCTCAATAACTTCCACTTTAACCTTGTCTAATTTAATTTCGCGGCTAAAGATGCAATGCCTTAGCACTATACTCTCAGTAACATGATATTACATTTCTACCAATTCAAAACCAAATCAGTTTCTTCATATCATTTCAAGATAAAGGCCAAATGATTGAGGCAGTGCTCAAAATCTTGCACAAAAATAGAAAAGTCATCCATAAGTGCCTTCAAGTAGTCTTCAATCATGTCAGACATGCATCATTGGAATATTACTAGAGCATTGCACAAATAAAACAACATACATCGAAAAGAAAATGTACTATATGGGTAAGTAAAAGTTGTCTTCTCTTGATCTTCAAGAGTTATAGCTATTTAGTTAAAGCTACTATACCCATCCAAGAAATAACAAAAAGCTTTTCTGGCGAGACGATCAAGCATTTTATCTATAAATGGCAACATATAGTGATATTTCCTAGTAGCCTTGTTGAGCATCCTATAGTCCATACATATTATCGAACCAGTGGTTGTCCTTGTTGGCACTAACTCGTTATTGTCATTTGTCACCAAAATAATGTTTCCTTTTTTAGAACACATTGTATAGGGCTTACCCAGTTACTGTCTGATATTGGGTATATAACGTCAACATCTAACCATTTACTTATCTCCTTTTGAACATCTTCTTTCATGATCAGATTTAACGTTCACTGTTGCTTAATAGAACTACGATTATGGTTTTCCAGCAAGATTTTATGCATACTGAATGCAAGACTAATGCCTTTGATATCAGCGATGGTCCAAGCAATAATCTGCTTGTGCTATTTCAGAACAGTAATCAGTCTATCATCCTGCGATGCTTAGAGCGTTGTGGTAACAATAACATGAAAAGTCTTATTATCTTTAAGGTCTTCATACTTCAAATGCTTAGGCATATGCTTCGATTCTAGTGTGGGTGGCTCTTCATTTGAAGTTTTAAGAGTTTGACTAGGTCGATCCAGAAGTTCCAATGACTCAAAACGCTGCATATAATTGCCTTTAGCCTCTTCATCCTCAGTAATCTCCTCAATTGTTACAAAATTACTGGAAACATTTTTCATATCGTGGCATTCATTCCAATGCTCATGTGCAAACACAACAATAATATCAACCTCATAACATTACGTATTAATATCAACATATAAAACATTATTCAAGGAATTAAAAGTAATTTTTTTTATTATTCAAACGCATCGTGAGCTCACCTTTTTCAACATCTATTAATGCATGGCCAGTGAAAAGGAATGGTCAATCGAGTATGATGGAAACATCCTTGTGGGCTTTTTAATCTAAAATGATGAAATAGGTTGGAAAAATGAACTTTTCTACTTGAACCATCATATTCTCTTAGGATGCACGATGGATCGATCAACAAGTTGCAAAGTGAAAGTAATAAGTCTTGCTTCTATACTCTCAACTTTCCTAAAAATTAAAAATGGCATTAAGTTAATGCTAGCACCTAAGTCAGATAATGTTTTTCCTATAAATTGATCACTAATAATGTAAGGAATAGTGGACCTCCTTGGATCTATGAGTTTTGGTGGTAATCGAGTTGTGGCCATATCACTACATCACTCAATAAATGATAATTCTCTAAAAGGGTTATCGTTAGTAGCTTTTTTCACCCAGTTCTAGTTTGAACATGAGCATTTTAGGAGAATTTTAAGATTATATTTGCTTAATTTTATACATTTTTACATGTTAGGAACTTTATGGGTTGCCAAGGGCTAAATTTGATTTATGCTGTTGTAAATTGTTACACTGATGCCATAGCGTTACAGGAAATACTGAGCGGATGTTGCAGTAGTTGATGAAGCTCCATATGGTTGGAAGAATCTTTTGGATGGGATAGTTGGCTTGGGCAGGTGTCAATGGGCTAGTTATCATCTGAGACATGGAAGCTTCTTTTTGGGAGATGAAAATCTCATCAAATTTATAAAAGGGGAGTACTTGCATGATAAAAAGTGTGATGATTAAGAGCAATTCAGAGTACCAAATTTCCACGTTCAATCTTCGTATGCCATGGAGGCCTAAGCCCCTTATCAGGGATTGATGCAGTACAAAGAAAGCTTGCTGAGTAACATTGACAGTCAGCGGATCACCATTCAAGGCCTTTTATTGAGAGAGAGAGTGATTTTAATGTTTTAAACTCTTTATGGATAATATTGTGGATTGTTTATTTTATGTTTACTTTGATACTTAGTTTATAAGCTTGGTACTTTATGATTGTGAGTAAAAATACTTATGATTAAATATATAGTACTTTCGATTATTTTTAGAAATAGATTTGGTTGATCTACTATATACATTTGAAGGCATTGGTGTTGCTAGGTAGTATAATGTGTGCTGAAAAGCATGCAATCAATTAGTTGGCGTTGTTAACATTTTGAGCCTTTAATTAATGAAAGTAGTTAAAGAAGTTCAAAAAGGTCTTAATCATTGTTGATTGCATAAAATTGGTATGCATTGTTTACATAAGATTTGATGTGCACAATATTTCCTCTATCGATTTGATAGTTGACCTTGTGCTTTCTGGACTGTTGTGGCATGAACTGGTGTTTTCCCTATTGATTTGACTATATTTCATTAAGCATCTTTTTACTCGATACTTTTTTATGTTTACAAACTATAATGATAACACCTTGCACTTGTGGGTTCGACATCCATAGCATTCATTTTCTACAACTTTATTACTTGGTTTACGATACGTGTAATTGCTAAATCATTTTCGTAGAATCAAGTTTTTGGCGCCATTATTGGGGAGCATCGATTTGATTTAGGGTTATATTTATTTTTCTTACTTTTTTGTTTTCTTTTGTAGCTAGTTTTAGTTTTTTCTTTTACTAGTGTATGCCTCGTAGTGACGAAGAATTAGATCCATTAAATATAGAGATTAAAAGTAATTTTAGGAGACATCACCGTGAAGCTATCCAGAATAGAGAAAATAAGGCTAGACGAGGGAATGGTATTTTATCTCCGCTACAGAATGGACAGAATGACGAGTTGCCAATTAGCATTGGTGCTGGGCAACCATATTAAGATTTGGATGTCGTAATCACCCTATTTGTGAGCATGTGGTGATAACATTGGATTATTTGTATCCAGGCTTTGTGAGGCCAGTGATTAAAGCTGTGAATTTTCAGCTAAAGTCGATTATGTTATAAATGCTACAATCTATGGGCGAGTATGGAGGATCTGTTGTTGAAGATCCTAGGGCTCATTTGAGAGCGTTCATGGAGGTTTGTGATTCTTTTATTCAGCAAGGTGTTTTAGAGAAGGCACTGAAGCTGAAGCTATTTCTTTATTTGCTATACAATATTGGAATTGTTAGCGCATAAATTCTTGTTGCAATTCAACTCGCTGAACACGAATGCCAAACTTGAAAATTATTTAACTTCATTTAAGCAAATGGATGATGAAAGCTTGTATGAAACATGAGAAAGATTTAAGGAATTGTTGTGGAAATGTCTTATGCGTGGAATTCCTTATTGGACTCAAATGAAGATGTTTTATAATGGGTTAAACATACACACTCCTATAGTGGTTGATGTTTCAACAAATTGAGCTTCACTGGATAAGACATACAATGAAGCATATGACATCTTGGAAATGATCTCCACTAATGATTTCCAATACCCTAATATAAGAAATAAGTTTGGTAGACGTAATATTGTAGCAATAGATTATGAAGCTTTCAAATCTATGGCATCTCAGATTTCAACATTGACGGAAATGGTGAAAAATAGAAAAAACCAGGAGAAATGTATGAAGTTAAAGTTGTATCTCTCATCACTTGTGTTTATTGTGGCGATGATCACAATTTTGATGAATGCCCCCAAAATTCAGAGTCTATCTATGTGAGAAAATATCAAATGAATGATAATGCTTTTGGTAACACAAACAATACAAATTTTAGAAATAATCGCAATCTTTCTTGGGGAAGTCATAATGTTGCCAATCTATAGCATCAGTAGTATCAACAACAACATTATAATCATCAGAACCAAATGCCACAACCACAGGCACAACATCCTATTGCTCAACCACGACAAAGATAGAATTATCAAGGTCAATATTTAACTGAACATTCAACTTTATCATCTTTTGAGGCTTTAATGAAAATGTATATGGAGAGCCAATCAACCTCGTTAAGGGCTCTAGAAAATCAGATGGGACAAATGGCTAATGATCTAAATATTCAGTTGTAAGGAACGTTGCCCAGTAATACCAAGAATCCAAAGCAAAACGGTAAAGAGCAATGTAAAACCATAACTACAAGAAGTGGAATTCATATTGGAGAGCTAGTTGAATAACTTAGGAAAAAAGATGAGGAAGTTCTTAAGCATGGCAAAGGAAATAGCAAAAAAGTTGAGCCCGAACCACCTGTGAGTCATTCCACAGCACCAGATGCAGGATAATGTAGTAATTCAGAATCATTAACGATAGCAACCCCTGCTATATCTGAAGTTCCACCAAATTCTATGCCTCAACAACAACAATAAAAAATAGCTCCACCATTTCCACATCGCTTCAAAAAGATAAAAGAAGATAAGCAATACAAGCCCTTATTAATTTCCTTTGGCAACTCACAATTAACATTCCATTGATTGTTGCTTTAGAGTAAAACCTGAACTACTTCAAATTCATGAAGGAAGTTTTTTAGAATAAAATGAGACTTGGTGAGTTTGAGTTTGTCGCTTTTACCGAAGGCTGTAACGCTATGGCTACTGTAGACACACTTTTTATGACCGAAATAAATAAATATATTTATATTATATATATCATATATATCATATGTATATTTATTGTATAGATATTACTATTATTTTATTAACATGTTTTACATCTTTGTATCAGACCCAAATTACATTACACGAGCCCAACAGACCCAACCCGTGGCAACTGAAGCCCAAACGCATAAGCTTCCAGAAACCCTAGAAGCTCCATCAGCGTCGCCTCTCCTCTGCACTTCACGCCTCTCACTGCCGCACGTCTCTTGCCACCAACAGCCCGAACCATTCGGAGCAAGCATCTCGTAAGACTCATCCACAACTAACAAATATTAGAGTCATATTAGGAGTCAAACATGTCTAAAAATAGCCGAATCTAAGGCTATAAAAAGGTGTAATTTTTAACTTTTATAAAACATTTGGATTATACCAAATAGCAGCAAAATACGCAGACAAAGCAGTGAACCAAATCTGTTTGTACCAACTTCGAAGTTAAATAAAAAAGGTAAAAATACTTTAGCTTGTTCGTTACTGTCGATCTCGCATGGGTGTTGTGATTTCCTTATTTTGCATGTTGTCTCTCTCAGATTTAAAACACTAAAAGTCGATGATCAGAGTAGGGGTGTACGAAAATTTCTTTTTAGATCTACACCCCTACGAGGCATTTTTTTAAACCAAAGTGATTTTTTAAACGAGGATAAAACGGGCTTTTGAATGGTAAAAGTTTTTTATGGTTTTGCCGTCGATGGCAGGTGCTGATCAACGGCGACGGCGAGGTGGCGCTAGGGTGGCCGGATTCTGGGCACCAAGAACACAACATCGTTGTTCATCTTTTGGATGAACTGAAGAGAGAAAATGAATGAGGGAGGGGGATGCATTTTTCAAATGGAAGAAATGAAAATTTTAGGCCAAAATTTGGCCTTTATACGATCCATGCGCCCGACCCGATGACCAGAGCGGATCCCTCCGCGTGTTTTTTTTAAAAATAGGGTTAATTACCCTTTTGATCCCTCGTTGCCTATGAAGTTTTCTTTTAACCCCAAATTGAAATTACATCATGATAATTACTTCGAAATTGGACCTCCATGTTTCGATCCATTCGATTTTGTCACTTTTTGAGAGCGTGTTTTCTTTTTTCATTTTATTTAAATACTGTCTATTTTTATTATATTTATTCGTTAAAGTTTTAACGTTAATATACACGTTTTTTATTTATTTATGTTTACTATTATTTTATTATTATTATTCTCCAATATATATATAATTATTTTTATTATTTTCCTTTTTTTATTTATCTTTATTACTATTATATTATATTACTTTTTTTATTATGGTGTTTTTCATCATTCACTTACCTTTATTATTATTATTACTACTTGTATGTATTTATATATTTATTGCTATTTTTTTTATATATTTTATATTTTATTTATTTATTTTTATTTTATATTTTCGGTTTCTTTTCTATTAATATTGTTCTTTCTCAATACTTTAGGTATAAGTATGTTAATTTCATCCATTTACTTTATTCCTTTTTTATCTTGCATTGTTATTTCCATGATCTTCTTCATTTTATGTATTTTATTATATTCTTATTTATACTTTTATTCTTTATGTATATTTACATGTTTACTCTTTTATCTTATTTATCCCATTACATTTTCCCTCTAACGTTTTTTGTGACATCTCAAGAGTACATTTAAAAAAAAAAATTGGTCAGAGATAAGTAATTTGGATCATTATTTTACCTTTTAATTTAACTTACAACTTTCTTAATTTAAGACAACTGGAAATTATATAGTACCGAAAGGGCAGTTCAAGGGTGCTAACCCTTCCTTGACTATAACCGACTCCCGAGCCCGACACATTTCTGGTAAGACGCATATCAGGTAAGAGATAAGGTATCCGATCAACCTATTTGCTTTAAAATAAATGATCGGTGGCGACTCCTAACCCAATTATTCAAGTAGAAGCCTAATTTCGGGGCCTATCCGAAATACGGTTCCGACAGCTTGGTGACTCCGTTGGGGAGATAGGTAAGTGTGTCAGGCTAAGGTAATTTCCGGTTGTCTTTTTAACGAAAAGGGTAAGTTTAAATTTTAAGGTAAAATTTTGATCCGTTTTATTTACTTTTGATAATATTTTCGAGTAAAAAGTTGTACTAATTGTTTTCTCATGATTTCAGACTTCAAAGCTTTTTTCACTTCGGGATTTATATACCTTATGTCTTCGTGTGAATTTATTCTCCGCATAGACATAAGGGAATGTGTCCTCTCGAGTTTAACTTAGTCCGCACAAGCCTGTGATGGGTTTAGGACTAAGGGACTGGTGAGCCCAAGGGGGCGCCGACAAGGAGAACTCGGGTACCATTTTTTAGAACCTAAACCGGGAGAATAAGAAGAATTAGAGCCTACCCCGAAACCACGTTCCAAAACTTAGGATATTTTTACCCTAACCATGTTTCTTTTTTATTTTTCCTTTCGTTATTTTATATTTATTTATCTATTTTTTATTTTACTAACTTTTTTCCTTTATGTTTGTTTTTTAGCATTTGCATCATAACAAGAGGCCATTGATCCTTAAAAAAGCGTTTGCTATACACAAAATAATCTGAACTAATGGAAAAAGGTGTTGTAATACAAGAGATTAAAAACTCTGAGGTACGACTATGGTTTGAGAAGACTCAGAAGGAAAAGGGAGACAATCTTCAAGGAAGCTATGTGTCAGAGCTATTCAGCTATGCCTCTATCAGCCTAAAATAGAATGATGTGCAAGAACTTTGATATATCTGGGGCAGTTGGAAGAATGATCAGAAACAGAAGTTCAGTCAACGGTACAGTGACATTGTACTTTTGCTTCATATCAAGACTGATGAGCCCTTAATCAGAGCCTTGGTTCAATTCTGGAACCTGGGATACAGTTGTTTTACTTTTAATCAGGAGGAATGGAGCCCGCCATTGAAGAGTACACTACATTGATGCACTGTGAAAGTATCAGACTAGAGAGGGCCTACCTTAAACACATCAAAAGCCAGCCTTTCAAGAATGCATTAGCCAAGGTTGTCGGGGTTGACGAAAAATGGGTAACTGACCGGGCTCGATGTAAAGGCAGTGGGGAAGGAATTGCTTGGCTTCATATCAAGCAACTGATGAAGAACCATCCCGATGAGTGGAAGGCAATAGATCTGTTTGTACTGGGTCTGTATGGTCTGATTATATTCCCGAAGACTTTGGGTTACATTTATGCTGCTGTGGTAGAGCTGTTTGAACAACTCCCAAAGCGAGTTAACCCAACACCAGCCATCTTAGCCGAAACCTTTCGATATCTCAACAATTTTCAAAGAACTGGCAGAGGAAAGTTCGTTGGATGTATACAGCTTCTTCAAGTCCGGATTCACATCCATTTCTGGAAGAATAACGGGGTTGCCTACCGCCGATTTAGCACCACCTATTCACCTTTGGGAGAGTTCGTCATAATGAAATGGCATGAAGGCGCTACAAAGGAAAAATGGATGAAGGTCTTCACTCACCTTCAAGACTGGGATATTACCTGGAGAGCCCCCTGGTTGTTCATCGGTGACGTTCTTTTTTGATGTGGGGATTCTGATACGATGACCTTACTCGGAGTTTGGGGTGCAATTGGGTATGCTCCGTTGCTAGCACTTAGACAGTATGGGGCACGTCAGTTTGTCCTGTGGGCTAGCTAGATCATAGTTTGTGTATCATGGTGACAGTTATAAGAAGATGATCAAA